TTCATCACTCACCACACACGTTAGGTCATCAGATGATCCCAAAAAATATTTATCTGCAAAAACAAATCAATGCTAGCTACGTTTTTTTCTCATTGAACCTGCGTTTACAATATATCCAATTTCAGTTTGTGTAGTTGTTGGTTTAGCTTTATGTAACTTTGTAGCAAGTACAGTGTAGGCGCATATTGATCATGATTGCAAGGTGTCCCAATATCTTTTCCAACTGTCCTATTATCTGGTTTTAATTTCCATTCTAGAATACCATTCTAGCCAATCAGAAATGAGTATTCAACAAGGAACTATGTCTTTGCTATGTAACTCCTGTGTAAAAAAAGTGCCATGTATTTCAAATGTGTGTAGAATGTACATGAAACAAAACAAAAAAAAGCTGTAAAAACAAAGCTATGTTTGTCCTCCGAAGAGGGAGGGGTGGATGGGCCAATAAAATAAATAAATAAATAAATACGTTTTATTGTCCAATCGCAGTTGTTGTCTCCGTGTCTGTGTAAAGGAACCCCCCCCGTCTAGTTTTAAAATATAATTCATATGAACAAGTACAAGGTTGCTGTAGTTTGACAGGGTTTTCATCCTCCCTAGGGCCAGGAGTTTTTCCAGGAGTTTTTCCAAACTATGTGACCTGATTAGAAAAACTCTGGTCCGGGGCCTCCCGAGTGGTGCAGTGGTCTAAGGCACTGCATCGCAGTGCTATCTGTGCCACTAGATATCCTGGGTCGAGTCCAGGCTCTGTCGCTGCCCGCCGTGACCGGTAGACCCATGGGGTGGCGCACAATTGGCCCAGCATCGTCCAGGGTAAGGAGGGTTTGGCCGGCAGGGATGTCCTTGTCCCATCGCGCACTAGCGACTCCTATGGCGGGCCGGGCGCAGTGCACGCTGACTCGGTCGCCAGGTGTACAGTGTTTCCTCCGACACATTGGTGCGGCTGGCTTCCGGGTTAAGCGGGCAGTGCGGCTCGGTTGGGTTGGGTTGTGTTTCGGATGACTCTTGACCTTCGCCTCTCCCGTGTCCGTAAGGGGGTTGCAGCGATGGGACAAAGACTGTAACTACCAATTGAGGAATAAAATACCACTGAAAAACTCTGGTCCCATCAGTAGTATTTTTTTGGTTGCCTGAAAATAGTATTTACATATATCGTGCCGGCTTCTCCAGTGTAGCAGGTACAAAAAAACGACTGCTTTTTGCAATGTCCCAGTGTAGCTCCTATGTTAGGCTAGTGTAATTCTTTGCAGTTAGGTGGTTTTCAGTTTTAAGAAATCACCTACCTAATGGGGCAACCACAGAGCAGGCTCAACTTGCCCGGCTGCCATAAATGCCATATATGATCTATCTTTCACTTCAACAATGGAGATAAACCAGAAGGATCAGTTTTAGGCTAGGCCTACTGGAATTCTTTACCGTTTTGTTGTTTTCAGTTTCCTGGGGCAACTGACACTTAACCAGCATGGCTACCACAGCAATCTGCAGCGATACGCCATCCCATCTGTTTTTCAACAGGACAATGAACCAACACACCTCCAGGCTGTGTAAGGTCTATTTGACAAAGAAGGAGAGTGATGGAGTGCTACATTAGGTGACCTGGCCTCCACAATCCCCCGACCTCAACCAAATTGAGATGGTTTGGGATGAGTCGGACCGCAGAGTGAAGGAAAAGCAGCCAACAAGTGCTCAGCATACAGTGAGGGAAAAAAGTATTTGATCCCCTGCTGATTTTGTATGTTTGCCCACTGACAAAGAAATGATCAGTCTATCATTTTAATGGTAGGTTTACTTGAACAGTGAGAGACAGAATAACAACAAAAAAATCCAGAAAAATGCATGTCAAAAATGTTAGAAATTGATTTGCAGTATTTGACCCCATCTCAATCAGAAATATTTCTGGCTCCCAGGTGTCTTTTATACAGGTAACGAGCTGAGATTAGGAGCACACTCTTAAAGGGAGTGCTCCTAATCTCAGTTTGTTAACTGTATAAAAGACACCTGTCCACAGAAGCAATCAATCAATCAGATTCCAAACTCTCCACCTTGGCCAAGACCAAAGAGCTCTCCAAGGATGTCAGGGACAAGATTGTAGACCTACACAAGGCTGGAATGGGCTACAAGACCATCGCCAAGCAGCTTGGTGAGAAGGTGACAACAGTTGGTGCGATTTTTCGCAAATGGAAGAAACACAAAATAACTGTTAATCTCCCTCGGCTTGGGGCTCCATGCAAGATCTCACCTCGTGGAGTTGCAATGATCATGAGAACGGTGAGGAATCAGCCCAGAACTACACGGGAGGATCTTGTCAATGATCTCAAGGCAGCTGGGACCATAGTCACCAAGAAAACAATTGGTAACACACTACGCCGTGAAGGACTGAAATCCTGCAGCACCCGCAAGGTCCCCCTGCTCAAGAAAGCACATATACAGGCCCGTCTGAAGTTTGCCAATGAACATCTGAATGATTCAGAGGAGAAGTGTTGTGGTCAGATGAGACCAAAATCGAGCTCTTTGGCATCAACTCAACTCACTCTGTTTGGAGGAGGAAGAATGCTGCCTATGACCCCAAGAACACCCTCCCCACTGTCAAACATGGAGGTGGAAACATTATGCTTTGGGGGTGTTTTTCTGCTAAGGGGACAGGACAACTTCACCGCATCAAAGGGACGATGGACGGGGCCATGTACCGTCCAAATCTTGGGTGAGAACCTCCTTCCCTCAGCCAGGGCATTGAAAATGGTTTGTGGATGGGTATTCCAGCATGACAATGACCCAAAACACACGGCCAAGGCAACAAAGGAGTGGCTCAGAAGAAGCACATTAAGGTCCTGGAGTGGCCTAGCCAGTCTCCAGACCGTAATCCCATAGAAAATCTGTGGAGGGAGCTGAAGGTTTGAGTTGCCAAACGTCAGCCTCGAAACCTTAATGACTTGGAGAAGATCTGCAAAGAGGAGTGGGACAAAATCCCTCCTGAGATGTGTGCAAACCTGGTGGCCAACTACAAGAAAACGTCTGACCTCTGTGATTGCCAACAAGGGTTTTGCCACCAAGTACTAAGTCATGTGTTGCAGAGGGGTCAAATACTTATTTCCCTCATTAAAATGCAAATCAATTTCTAACATTTTTGACATGCATTTTTCTGGATTTTGTTGTGGTTATTCTGTCTCTCACTGTTCAAATAAACCTACCATTAAAATTATAGACTGATCATTACTTTGTCAGTGGGCAAACGTACAAAATCAGCAGGGGGTCAAAAACTTTTTTCCCTCACTGAATGTGGGAACTCCTTCAAGACTGTTGGAAAAGCATTCCAGGTGAAGCTAGTTGAGAGAATGCCAAAATTTTGCGAAGCTGTCATCAAGGCAAAGGGTGGCTATTTAAAGAATCTCAAATATAAAATATATTTTTATTTGTTTAACACTTTTTTGGTTACTACATGATTCCATATGTGTTATTTCATAGTTTTGATGTCTACAATGTAGAAAATAGTAAAAATTAAGAAAAACCCTTGAATGAGTAGGTGTTCTAAAACCTTTGACCGGTGGTGTAAGTTAACAACAGTCTGCAGTACCTTCCAAGATCTGAGTTCTGCTTTCAAGACCTCCCCCCACCCCTAAACAAATGTATTCATGCACAGTATTGCATTGCACACATACAAATCTGCTGACATAGATTAAGCACAGTTTCGACCAAACTTAGACTAATTTCTTTGCACCTCTTTCTTTCCTGTTTTGACCTCACCCTCTCCCAGTTCCCTCCCACAACGGTTGCATGCCACGTCATTGAGTGTGCAGTAGGGCATCAGATTGCTATATCAGATGTGGTTAGCTGTAACTTAAATACCTATCCAGGCGTTGTAAGATCTGGCATGTGTCTGCAGTGTAGTCGGGCAGGAACTCAACCAACATCTGCACTAGATGTTGTTTGTCCTCCAACCCCTATGCCATGCCTGTCCCCACCCACTCAACCCCTACCCAGATGGTTAAATGGCTTTGCAACCTTCGCTCTCTCGCTCCCACTTCTTTCTCCTCCTCTGTCTTATCATGTCCTGTCCTCTCGCTTCTGTGGAATCTTTCTTCCTCCTGTCTCTTGATTCTGCCTTTCCACCCACTTCTCCTCATCCTTTGACTCACACTGTCCTCTCACCTCCCGGCCAGCACAACCCTCTTCTCCTGCTCCATGGCTGTCTTACTCACTGTGAGCTGACTACGGGCTACGGGCAGCTAAGCAAAAATTATTATGCTGCTTTCAACCACTCCACATTTCAAGCCTATGCCTCTAACCCTAGGAAGCTGCTTTATTTATGAAAGTTTTACTTGCAATGACTGTGATGGTTGTCTTACCTTAGTTGAATGCACTGACTGTAAGTCACTCTGGATAAGAGTGTGTGCTAAAATGACCTAAATGTAAAATTTGCACTGTATTTTGAAAAAGTGTTGGCGACTGACCATGGTGACTGACCATAGTAACTGACCATAGTGACTGACCATAAATGCTGTCCATCAGTAAATAGAGAAGTCCCGCAAAAGTAACAGAAGTGACCTGGTGTTTGTTTGCAAAATAAAAGTTCTGCCAACTCTTCCCATCATCCAGAGGGGGAGGGGCAATTTCCAACACTACAAAGCAAAGCATTAATATTGACCCAAACCAGTCAACCAATCATTAGGGTAATGACACATTTGTTTGTTTTTAAATGTATTTTTATTGGAGAATACAAAGGAATGTTTCTTCCCCATTTTATTTGTGGTTTGCACAAAGTTCAACCTCCCTCTCCCTCCACCCCTCTCCCAACCTCACACCTCTCCCAACCTCACCACAACCCCTCTCTCAAAACATAAGCCACTCCCATCAGTTACAGTCTTGGCAAATCAGGTGGGAGAGGGTACTGACACATGTTTACACCCCTAATAGAAAACACCTCTGCTTCGCCCTTGTAGTCAATGTAGGGAGATCTTTGCAGTGTGAGCATTTCAATACAGTCTGACCTGGTGGATCTCCTTCAGTTATGGTTCCCTCTGGGATTCAGGTTTGGAGATGAATGCTTTTTATCTGTTTTCACTGGCTTTGTGTCTGTCAAGATACCCAAGAAACCCCAAGACCATAAGTAAACCTGGAATTTGGTCATCAGATTTACAGGGCCTATTTCTGTACTAAAGATCATGCTCAATGGAGAATATGAAGTGCTTTTATTCTGGGAAAATGCTTCATCTGGGTCTGGGAATGCAGCCCATGGTGTATTCTTGTGCTTGTGCACAATCTATGTATTAGAGGGCAGACTTGGGGTGGAACATAGTTATTTCCTGACTGTGTGTGTGTGTGTGTGTGTGTGTGTTTGCTCTGTAGGTTTTACATGGTAACCATTCCTGCAGTGATCCAGGCAGGTTTAGAAGCCAAGATTTGCGCAAGGCTTCTGCAGCCAAACGAGACCCTGGTCATGACCATATCTCGGATCGCCAAAGGACGGAACAAAATCCTTCTCCAGGAGAGTTCTGACCAAGAGTTTCACCTCTGCTTCCAATTTCAGGTCAGCCCAACACTGGTGTCCACCAGTCAGATCAACAAGTGATGCCATTCAGATAAAAGTGTATTTCTCAGGCTCATAATGAATCTTTAGGTTTTTGTTAAACGTCATCCTGTGGGTCATATCAATATGGTTCTGGAGTTTAGGCTGAATTCTACCTGGTTTTGGTTGGATGTTACGGTTGGTTCATTAGCTCACCAGTGTGTTGCTCCATCCCTTTGCCTGATAGGCCCCTCAACTGCAGGAAGAAAGAGAGCAAAACTTTAAGGTGGAGGTTCGATGTGAAACATTTCTATCGACAGAGGAGAGAAAGGTCATGATCAAACCCTACAGCCCCATGACAGCACAAATAGGTAATTTTAGGCAGAGCAAAGGTCATGTAGTCTCTAATGTGACAATGTTCAGCCTTACTTACAGACATCTATAGCTTGCTTGTTTTATCCGCCTAAAATGTTAATTGAGTGCCTTTAAAATAAAGTGTGTGCTTCCTTGTTTTTTCTACAGTGCATTTTAGAGTCATGTCCTTGGATACCAATTTTTGCACTGTCAATCAGCTGGTGAGTGTTGAAAATGTGCAACATTTGATAATGAAACCAAAGTTGACAATATCTACCTATTCGGACACCCTGTAGATCATTATTTCAAAGCACTATTTCAAACAAAAAAGACAGATATGGAAGAATCACAAGTAGGCTACCACAACCTGAACAGTACTGTGCGATAGATTATAATTAGTCATGCGTGATAGAGAAAAGTACTTTGTAAAAAATAAACGCTACAATAACTTAGTAACTGTACTGAAATCAACAGTACTGATGCTATCTATTCTCTATATGTAGCCTGGGCTGTCTGTTCAACTCAAAGTTGAAGATTGTAATACTCAGGGCAAAAGTGCATCCATCAGCTGAGGTCCTCTAAGTTAACATGTGTGGGCTGATTTGAAGGCTTTCAAACATTCACCATGGGTCATGGAATTGAATGGAACACACACACACACACAAACACACACGATATGTTGGGAGCAGCACATCGTCAGCCACAGAGAAGCCCCCTTGGAGCATGTAGTCTCCCAAGTCAGACTCTGTAGTCTCGCATTTGTCAAGCCAGACACTGTAGAGCAGGGGTATTCAACTCTTACCCTAAGAGGTCCGGAGCCTGCTGGTTTTCTGTTCTACCTGATAATGAATTGCACTCACCTGGTGTCCCAGGTCTAAATCAGTCCCTGATTAGAGGGGAACAATGAAAAAATGCAGTGGAACTATCTTCGAGGTCCAGAGTTGAGTTTGAGGGCTATAGAGCATGAGGCACCATTCCCAATTGGAGTGTGGCTTATTCTTGAGACATTGGTATTTAGAGGCTAAGATCAGAGGAAAGCCAAGGAATTAAAGGGGGGAATTACTTCTGTAGACCCCAAGTATATCGTCAATGCTCTGAGGAGAATCAGGCAAGCAGTGAGAGAGTCCCAGATGATGTGTGACTGATTTACATTTCAAGCCAGTCACCTTCCTTGAGTTTTAGGCCACACTATGCTCTTCTATTTATACTCATTTGAAAGTTAACATTATAAAACATTAATCAATGTCATGTATTTTTGTCCTTCACAGTACAACATTGTGGAGCTTGAGGTAAGATCCCAACTAGTCCCTAACTTTATAATGACTAACGTTGTAAATAAAGTGCAATCAAAACATGATAATACATTTTCCTCCATTATCATAAGAAAATAGCCCGGTGTGCCATCTTTCAGTTCCACACACACACACACACACACACACACACACACACACAATATCATGTATTAATACACTACATTACCAGAAGTATGTGGACACCTGCTCATCGAACATCTCATTCCAAAATCAAGGGCATTAATATGGAGTTGGTCCCCCCTTTGCTGCTAAAACAGCATTCATCGACGGGACGGACCAAGGCGCAGCGTGATATGCGTACATGTTTATTAAATATTAAACACAACGACAAAATAACAACCGAAACGTGACGTCCAAGGCAACACAACATACCTTAACACGGAACAAGATCCCACAACCCACTAGTGCCAATAGGCTGCCTAAGTATGGTCCCCAATCAGAGACAACGAGCTACAGCTGCCTCTGATTGGGAACCACACCGGCCAACATAGATCTACACATAATAGAAACCCAACATAGAAATACACAACATAGAACATACACACCCTGACTCAACATATACGAGTCCCCAGAGTCAGGGCGTGACACCTCCACTCTTCTGGGAAGGCTTTCCACTAGATGTTGGAACATTGCTGTGGGGATTTGCTTCCATTCAGCCACAAGAGCATTAGTGAGGTCGGGCACTGATGTTGGGCGATTAGACCTGGCTCACAGTCGACGTTCAAATTCATCCCAAAGGTGTTCGATGGGGTTGAGGTCAGGGCTCTGTGCAGGCCAGTCAAGTTCGTCCACACCGATCTCCACAAACCATTTCTGTATGGACCTCGCTTTGTGCACGGGGGCATTGTCATGCTGAAACAGGAAAGGGCCTTCCTCAAACTCTTGCGACAAAGTTGGAAGCACTGAATCGTCTAGAATGTAATTGTATGCTGTAGCGTTAAGATTTCCTTTCACTGGAACTAAGGGGCCTAACCCGAACCATGAAAAACAGCCCCAGACCATTATTCCACCTCCACCAAATCTAACAGTTGGCACTATGCATTGAAGCAGGTAGCGTTCTCCTGGCGTGCGCCAGACCCAGATTTGTCAGTCGGACTGCCAGATGGTGAAGCATGATTCATCACTCCAGAGAACACTTAGGCTTGTGTGCGGCTGCTCGGCCATGGAAACCATTTTCATGAAGCTCCCTACGAACAACTTTTGTGCTGACGTTGCTTCCAGAGGCAGTTTGGAACTCGGTAATGAGTGTTTCAACCGAGGACAGACAATATTTACGCGCTATGTGATTCAGCACTCGGCGGTAACGTTTTGTGAGCTTGTGTGGCCTACCACTTCGGGGCTGAGCCGTTATTGCTCTTAGACCTTTCCACTTCACAAAAACAGCACTTATAGTTGACCAGGGCAGCTCTAGCAGGGCAGAAATTTGACAAACTGACTTGTTGGAAAGGTGGCATCCTATGACGGTGCCACATTAAAAGTCACAGATCTCTTCAGTAAGGCCATTCTACTGGCAATGTTTGTCTTTGGAGATTGCATGGCTGTGTGCTCGATTGTATACACCTGTCAGCAACGGGTGTGGCTGAAATAGCCGAATCCACTAATTTGAATGGGTGTCCACATATTTCTGTAAATACAGTATAGTGTATTTCCCATCATAGCGAAAAGTTAAAAAACGTCCAATCAGCTTTGCTTTATTTCTTCCATTCCTTCACAAAAAGGATGTAAATCGCAACAGGATTGGACAGTGGGTCAACACCACATCCAGTGGCAAAATATTACAGTTTTCTCACCCCCTGAACTCTAAATCACCTAAGGGAACCTATTATGTTATTGTGTGGATTGGTGAAAATAAAATACTCCATAGCTTCAAGGTAGAACAGTATGGTAGGTTGATTTACTTTCTTTTACCTTTCATGTAAAGCATTATGTTAATGGTTCTGCCAGTTGAATGAATGCATCAGTATCTTGGAACATCTAATGTGATGACCACTGTCTTTTTATCTTTAGTTTTGCCAAAGTTTGAGATCAAATTGAACCTCAGCGATGAGATCAGCGTTGGACAAGAGGAGTACAAAGTGGACGTGTGTGCAAAGTGAGTCTTCTATGTTTGAGTCCCTGAGACTTAAACGTTGGGGTTAGGGTTAGTACATCTGACAATTGAAAATGGTTTGATGTTTGATGTCAATGTGTATTAAGAGTTACACATTTAAAATTTAAAATCTGATACACGTATGGGCAGCCTGTACCTGGTAAAGCAGAGGTAGAGTTGTGCCGACACTTAGTGGACAATATATTGATAACACTTGACATTGATGAAGGCAATCCACAAGGAGTTCCTGTTTATACACCTCCCTGAGGTCTGAATGCCTTCCTAACATAGTTTTCACCAGGATTGTTTGTGACAACAACTTTCTAAATTTTGTGATAGGGTTGAATTAAGTACATTTAAATCACTCTGTCAAGTCTCCCCAATTATAATGTTAGTAGCTTTGTTTGCTTTTTCTAGATGGCCCAAACTGGCTGTGCCTCTCACGTCTTCAACATGTCAACTTTCAAGGATGATAGAAAGAAAATCGTCAGAGACGATCTTATATTTAATGCAAAAATAGAGGAGGGCGGCACTGTGAAGATAAGATTCCTGATTAATTTTAAATGAAACACGTTTAATTGTATCAAAATGATTAGGCCTGCCTTGTTTGTCCTTTGGTGCTACATTACAATGTATTTCCGTTGACAGATATACATTTACATTTTAGTCATTTAGCAGACGCTCTTATCCAGAGCGACTTACAGTTAGTGAGTGCATACATTATTTTTTATTTTTCATACTGGCCCCCCGTGGGAATTGAACCCACAACCCTGGCGTTGCAAACACCATGCTCTACCAACTGAGCTACATCCCTATAACACACTCTCAAGAAAAGCACTTTCCTGTGTCATTGGAAAGCTCTCATTTTTCGACACACCCAAAATGTATGAGCATGGATCAATTGTAGAGAGCAAGGTATGTCCAAATACAGCATTTTGTAGACTTGTGTACACAAGTGTCATTTTTGTATTGTGGATGCCATTTGTTCTTTGAGATTTCTGCTTCACTCAATGTGGCTGGTAAAAATGAAATACATTACCATTCATAACCCCCCCCCCCCCCCCCCCCCCCCCACACACACACACATACCTTTCCTCTGATTAAAGTTGTTCACTTCAATGACACCCCTATTTCCAACAAGTCAGTCTATCTGTTTGAGGGCCAAAGGGGGTCAGCACATCATCTACAGAACCTAACCACGGACAGTCATGGTATTGTCAGTTTCTCACTAAACACAACTGGAATGCCCAAAGATGATATTGCTCTCACAGTAAGTGTGATTCCTCCTACTTTTTAAATGAATAGTTCACCCAAATTACGAAATGTGTTTACTTTACCTTGTATGCAATCCATGGACAAGGACAGGGTGCAAAACATGTTTTGGTTTTGTATTCCTAGCAATTGTCACCAACTGCAAACTTCAGCATTCTCCAACCAAAACTATTGAAAGTCAATGTACCCGATATAATCATGTTTCAAATGTCATGCCCAAATCATCTGAAACTAACTTCAAACTAAGTTATTGAGCTCAGCTACACAATCCTTTGTTTTTGACTGCTGTAAACATTGGAGAAAAAATAATATTGCTTCCTTTTCTTGCTTCCCAGATAAGCCACACACTAGAATTAGGGGAACACAGACTTTCACTGATCCAGCCCACTGCCCCTCACAGTAAAACATCCAGCTCACTGGCTATTCAGAAGATGGAGAAACCACTGGCATGTGGGGAGGAAGGGTCAATCACTATACACTACACCATCGTAGGAGAGACCGTCCCAAGGGGCTCTGTTGATTTCATCTACCTGGTGAGTAGAACAAGGGCCCTGTTCGAATACTTCAGAAAAGTCTCCTTCCATCCTTGTTTCTTTGAGCATAGATCTACACTGAGTGTACAAAACATTAGGAACACCTGCTCTTTCCATGACATAGACTGATCAGGTGAATCCAGACGAAAGCAATGATCCTTTATTGATGTCACTTGTTAAATCCACTTCAAATCAGTGTAGATGAAGGCAGGTTAAATAAGGATTTTTAAGCCTCAAAACAATTGAGACATGGATTGTGATTGTGTATATTTCAGAGGGTAAATGGGCAAGACAAAATATTTAAGTGCCTTTGAACAGGGTATGGTAGTTGGTGCCAGGTGTACCGGTTTGAGTGTGTCAAGAACTGCAACGCTGCTGGGTTTTTCAAACTCAACAGTTTCCTGTGTGTATCAAGCATGGTCCACCACCAAAAGGACATCCAGCCAACTTGACACAACTGTGAGAAGCATTGGAGTCAATGCGGGCCAGCATCCCTGTAGAATGCTTTCGACACCTTGTAGAATCCATGCCCTGACGAATTGAGGCTGTTCTGAGGGCAAAAGGGGATGCAACTCAATAGTAGGAAGGTGTTCCTAATGTTTTGTACACTCAGTGTATAAGAGATTGGATATGGTTAACTTACCATATTACTTACCTATTTCAACCAACTATAGGGCCAAGGAACAAGCTGTGACAACCTGCAAATCCACACTCACCTTTATAGGAAGGATGCCCCACAGTACCAATACTCATCACTTCCTTCTGATTTGATTGGATACATGTTTTCCCTTTCTCTCCTCCAGGCCTTATCCAGAGGTGTGATAGTTCAGCATGGATACATGAAGGTTGCCATGCAGGAGAGTTCTGGTGAGTGATTGAGTGAGTGAGTAAGATTTCCCCCCAAATAGTGATTGTGAACACACTGGAAGGTGCTTGATGATAGTGACATGCACTTGCATTGCAGTCACTGAGGGTGAAGTCACAGTGAAGTTGGCAGTGGTTCCAGAGATGGCGCCGCTGGTGCAGGTCCTGGTGTACAGTATGCTACCCAGCGAGACTGTCATCGCCCACATCATGGACTTCCCCACTGAGAAATGCTTCAGACACAACGTGTGTGTTACCAATTAATATAAGGTAAATGTATGTAAAAATGTACATAGATATAATGTATTCAGTCAGGCTGTTACATGCTTTCAACAACTCATCCAGTATGTGTGTGTGTCATGTGTGCCATGTGTTGGTGGAGTTCTCTCCCTCCAAAGCAGTGCCAGGGGAGGAGAAAACCCTGCAGCTCTCAGCCCAGCCCGGCTCCCTCTGTGGCCTCAGTGATGTGGACCAGAGTGTTCGCATCATGGAGCCGGGAAAGGGGCTTGATTCTGGCAAGGTATGGATCTCTGGAAATATAAATATATATACATTTTAACTAATTATAGGGAGCTCAAGGAAATAATATTATAAAAATATAAAGGTTAACAATACATATGATATCATATATACTGAACAAAAATATAAACGTAACATGTAAAGTGTTGGTCACGTTTCATGAGCTGAAATAAGAGATCCCAGAAATGTCTCATATACACAAAAAGGTTATTTCTTTCAAATTTTGTGAACAAATTTGTTTACATCCCTGTTAGTGAGCATTTCTCCTTTGCCAAGATAATCCATCCACCTGACAGGTGTGGCATATCAAGAAGCTGATTCAAGAGTATGATCATTACACAGGTGAACCTTGTGCTGGGGACAATAAAAGGCCACTCTAAAATGAGCAGTTTTGTCACACAACCCAATGCCACAAATGTCTCAAGTTTTGAGGGAGTGTGCAATTGACATGCTGACTGCAGGAATGTCCACCAGAGCTGTTGCCAGAAAATTGAATGTTCATTTCTTTACCATAAGCCGCCCCCAACGTCATTTTAGAGAATTTGGCAGTACGTCCATCTGGCCTCACAACCGCAGACCCCGTGTTACCAAACCAGCCCAGGACCTCCACATCTGGCTTCTTCATCTGCGGGTTCGCCTGAGACCAGCCACCCATACAGTTGATGAAACTGTGGGTTTGCACAACCGAAGAATTTCTGCACAAACTGTCAGAAACCGTCTCAGCGAAGGTAATCTGCATGCTAGTAGTCCTCACCAGGGTCTTGACCTGTCTGCAATTTGGCGTCGTAACCAACTTCAGTGGGCAAATGCTCACCTTCGATGGCCACTGGCACACTGGAGAAGTGTGCTCTTCACGGATGAATTCTGGTTTCAACTGTACTGGGCAGATGGAACACAGCGTGTATGGCATTGTGTGGGTGATCGGTTTGCTGATGTCAGCGTTGTGAACAGAGTGCACATGGTGGCGGTGAGGTTATGGTATGGGCAGGCATAAACTACGGACAATGAACACAACAACATTTTATCTATGGCAATTTGAATGCACAGAGATACCGTGACGAGATCCTGAGGCCCAAGTTGTGCCATTCATCCGCCGCCATCATCTCATGTTTCAGCATGATAATGCATTGCCCCATGTCGCAAGGATCTGTACACAATTCCTGGAAGCTGAAAATGTCCCAGTTCTTCAACTGACCAGACATGTCACCCATTGAGCATGTTTGGGATGCTCTGGACCGATGTTTACGAACATGTGTTCCAGTTCCCGCCAATATCCAGCAACTTTGCACTGCTATTGAAGAGGAGTGGGACAACATTCCACAGGCCACTATGAACAGCCTGATCAACTCTATGCAAAGGAGATATGTTGCACTGCATGAGTCAATTGGTGGTCACACCAGATGACCTTTTTTTTAAGGTGTCTGTGACCAACAGATGCATATGTGTTCCCAGTCATGTGAAATCCATAGATTAGGGCCTAATGAATTTATTTCAGTTGACTGATTTCCTTATATGAACTGTAACTCAGTAAAATCTTTGAAATTGTTGTGTGTTGCGTTTTGTATTTTTGTTCAGTATATTTCCCTTGTTGAACGCACCTCAGGTGTGTTGGGCTGAAGCAACCCCTGCTCTAGCTAGGCTAGGATATCATTCTTGTGTTTTCCATGTTATCTTACAAGTGTTCCTCTCGGGCAGGTTTCTGTGACTCCGGTTCACTCCTTAGACTACACACTCACACCCCTCTCTGATATCCAGTACTCATCATCATGCTTGTTTGCCAACGGACGAAAGACGTTCAGTTGGACAATGGCACCCTCTGTCTTAGGTAAATTGCCAGCCTCCATTCAACCCTTCTTACAAGCTAAAGAAAGCCAAAACATTATTTTCAGGGCCCTTTATTTTAGTTTTAGATGTCCATACTAACTATAGACAAACTCCGGGCAGACCAGGGTTTCCCAAAAGCCTCGTAGCACTAAGATCATCTTTCATCCATTTAGTTTCAATGATCTTAATGCTACGATGCTTTTGGGAAACCCAGCCCTGTGCTGTACCTCTGTCTGTGAATGTGTTTTAAGGGTTTTGAACGTGTCTGTTAGTGCAGAGGCTGTCCAGTCACATGTTGAGTGTGACAATGAGATTGTGATCGTACCGGAGAGAGGACGCATCGCCACAGTCACACGGACCCTGCTGGTGAAGGTATGTACTGCTGTAGAGAAAAATGTGAACCTCTTTGGATTACTCTGTCACATTTACCATTAAGTTACACAATTATTATCTATCTAGTGTTACAGTAGTGTAACTGCTTCTGATGAAAAACAATTATTCTCTTTATCCCTCTCTCTCTCCTTCTCTATCGGTTTCTGTCGCTCTCTCTCAGGCTGAGGGAAATGAGCAGACTGAAACCTACAACTGGTTGCTGTGTCCAACTGGTCAGTATTGCATCATGAACTTTGAGCGCTAGACCATTGGAACAGGTTTTAAGTACAGGACTAGGCTTAATCTGTGTCCAGGACACTGGTCACTTTGATTTAAGTTATTGTTTCCCTTCATCTAGACTGTATATTGCACTGATCTCCACCTCACCACCCTCAATCCAGATAGTCAGTTTTCTGTTGGTTGTAATTCGAATAAAGATGTCTGTCCCTTGCCTGGTGACTATGGTGACCATGTGTCTAGCAACGCGCATGCCCCGCCAACCTTAGGATCTCTCCTTTTCAGACATCAATAACTGTCAATCTCCCTCGGCCTGGGGCTCCATGCAAGATCTCACCTCGTGGAGTTGCAATGATCATGAGAACGGTGAGGAATCAGCCCAGAACTACACGGGACGATCTTGTCAATGATCTCAAGGCAGCTGGGACCATAGTCACCAAGAAAACAATTGGTAACACACTACGCCGTGAAGGACTGAAATCCTGCAGTGCCCGCAAGGTCCCCCTGCTCAAGAAAGCACATATACAGGGCTGTCTGAAGTTTACCAATGAACATCTGAATGATTCAGAGGAGAACTGGGTGAAAGTGTTGTGGTCAGATGAGACCAAAATCGAGCTCTTTGGCATCAACTCATCTCGCCGTGTTTGGAGGAGGAGGAATGCTGCCTATGACCCCAAGAACACCATCTCCACCGTCAAACATGGAGGTGGAAACATTATGCTTTGGGGGTGTTTTTCTGCTAAGGGGACAGGACAACTTCACCGCATCAAAGGGACGATGGACGGGGCCATGTACCATCATATCTTGGGTGAGAACCTCCTTCCCTCAGCCAGGGCATTGAAAATGGGTCGTGGATGGGTATTCCAGCATGACAATGACCCAAAACACACGGCCAAGGCAACAAAGGAGTGGCTCAAGAAGAAGCACATTAAGGTCCTGGAGTGGCCTAGCCAGTCTCCAACCTTAATCCCATACAAAATCTGTGGAGGGAGCTGAAGGTTTGAGTTGCCTAACGTCAGCCTCGAAACCTTAATGACTTGGAGAAGATCTGCAAAGAGGAGTGGAACAAAATCCCTCCTGAGATGTGTGCAAACCTGGTGGCCAACTACAAGAAACGTCTTACCTCTGTGATTGCCAACAAGGGTTTTGCCACCAAGTACTAAGTCATGTTTTGCAGAGGGGTCAAATACTTATTTCCCTCATTAAAATGCAAATCAATTTATAACATTTTTGACATGCGTTTTTCTGGATTTTTTTGTTGTTATTCTGTCTCTCACTGTTCAAATAAACCTACCATTAAAATTATAGACTGATCATGTCTTTGTCAGTGGGAAAACATACAAAATCAGCAGGGGATCAAATACTTTTTTCCCTCAATGCATATCTCCAAACGCAATATTTTCCAAGACTAAAACAATATGGCCGTTATGAGCCGATGAGCTTGCATTAATGTTTTTTCCTGTCCAACAGCACCACCATGCAGCCACACTGAACCATACTTTACAGGTTAGCTAGAGTCATATCTCTGAGCATGTGTGCCAAATTTCATCACTCTGAGTCAAACAGATCAAGAGATATAAACATGTGCCCGTTATAGTGCCACCCTGTAGTCGATCTGAATGGGCATACAGTGCCTTGCAAAAGTATTCATTCCCCTTGGCGTTTTTTACTATTTTGTTGCATTACAACCTGTAATTTAAATGGATTTTTATTTGGATTTCATATAATGGACATACACAAAATAGTCCAAATTGGTGAAGTGAAATTAAAACAATAACTTGTTTAAAAAATGTTTTACAAATAAATAACGGAAAAGTGGTGCGTGCATATGTTTTCACCCCCTTTGCTATGAAGCCCCTAAATAAGATCTGGTGCAAACAATTACCTTCAGAAGTCACATAATTTGTTAAATAAACTCCACCTGTGTGCAATCTAAGTATCACATGATCTCAGTATATATACACCTGTTCTGAAAGGCCCCAGAGTCTGCAGCACCACTAAGCAAGGGGCACCACCAAGCAAGCGGCACCATGAAGACCAAGGAGCTCTCCAAACAGGTCAGGGACAAAGTTGTGGAGAAGTACAGATCAGGGTTGGGTTATTAAAAAATATCAGAAACTTTGAACATCCCATGGAGCACCATTAAAATCCATTATTAAAAAAATGGAAAGAATATGGCACCACAACAAACCTGCCAAGAGAGGGCCGCCCACCAAAACTCATGGACCAAAACTATGAAATAACACATATGGAATTATGTAGTAACCAAAGAAGTGTTAAACAAATCAAAATATATTTTATATTTGAGATTCTTCAAAGTATCCACCCTTGGCCTTGATGACAGCTTTGCACACTCTTGGCATTCTCTCAACCAGCTTCACCTGGAAACTTTAGACTGGTACTGTATGTCAATTGTAAAGTATTTTTGTCTGTAATGTCATTTTCTTTGTGTCGAACCCAAGAAAGATTAGCTGTCGCCATTGGCGTCGGCTAATGGGGATCCCAATCAAATCAATAAATCAATAACGGTCATCGCCTAATCTCTCTTGCCTCCAGGCCAGCATGAGACAGCTGCTGGATGGTGGTTCTTCTGATGGAATGGTTTATGTATTTTTGTGTGCTGACCTCCTAGAGAGAAAGAGAGAGATTAGTAACTTGGACGCAACAACTTAATTTGAGAAGGCTGTGTCTTAGCTCTAATGTCAAAATGTGTATGCTATTTATTTGCACAACAAACCTTGCACAGTCGGAGCAGCATGGGATCACTGTAGTGTGTTAAGTCCGACTGGCTCCCGTCTGTACCACACACTGTCGCCCCCGGAGACCACCCTCTTGGGATGCAGGTAGAAGGCCGGTCTTGCGGGAGCTTGCTAACATATTTTTCCAATGAAGTAACGGGCCACAGAGGGTTCCCTTGGTCCTCAAACATGCACCCATGTCGGTTTTGTCTTTCTTTATGGTTCTTATCTGTCCTCATTAAATGACAGTGTGGCGTATTTGACGTTTTCATCCCGCTTTGTCTTTCCCTTCTTCCCTCTGTGGCCAAAAAGCAACTGGATATCAAACCAGACCTTGTGGAGAAGGGTTCTGGCTGGGTTGGGCTGAGTGCTTCTGATCTTTGCTAGATCCTGGCTGGTGATCGCTGTGTGGTGAACTGTCTGATCTTTTCCTCTTAGCATTTTCACCACACCAGTGAAAACAGTATTGGAAGTGGTGAACTCAGTGTCCCGCATCAGGCACCAGGACAGGCTCATGGCAGGGTCATTAATGAAGCGGTTTAGCCCGGCCCGCAACTCGGTATAGCTGGCTATGCCGTACTCCTCTCCATTTCCATTCTGCACTGTTACATAAAAATCTCGGAGGATGACATTCAGGTCACACTTCAGTATGGTCTTGAAGTCCACCAGAATGGCCTTCTCCGAGAGCCAGTTCGTAAAGAACTTGACTGTCCATTCAGTTTGCCTTGTCGTCCCGACTTCGTTCCTCCCCTTCTCAATGTCATTGACCGCAGTTTCACTTGTAACGGCATGTCTCTACGGTGGGCTGATCCACATGTAGGCCTACTTCAACTTCTTCGTCGTCCGTCGGATGAAAAGTAAAATCAAAGGTGATATTACATTTGTCCACTATAGCTAGTTGCAGATAGTTAGCTAACAGTTGGAAACAATGGAACAAGGTGGATCAGGTGGCTGGTAGTAATGGGTTGCTATGTAACGGACGTAAACAATGGCTACACCCATGTAACAAATAACTTCAGCTTAATATGGAATACTATAGTACTTCGTATAGAATTCTGTAGTAAACTGTATTATAATATAGAATCCTATACTCCACACTGTAGTATCCCTCGATCATGTAGTGCTTACTATATAATTTTTTGGTACACTGTAGAATATTATACTACACAATGTAGTATTCCTCGATAATGTAGTGCTTACTTTAGAATTTTGTAGTATAATAGAGAATACTATACTTCACACTGCAGTATCCCTCGATTGTGTAGTGCTTACTACTTACTATAGAAGTTTGCAGTATACTGGAGAATCATATGCTACAATCTATAGTATCCCTCAAATGTGTAGTGCTCACTATAGAATGTTGTAGTATACTGTAGTATCCCTCGATCGTGTAGTGCTTACTATATAATTTTGTAGTATACTGTTTTGATTTTGAATGTGCTGTCCTTGGGGAGCTCATGCCGGGGATTGTGAAGTGCTTACTATAGAATTGTGTAGTATACTGTAGAATACTATACTCCACACTGTAGTATCCCTTGATTGTTTGATTTTATCTGACTTTTTAAAAGCACAATACAACCACAAATGTGGATGCAATGCATTTAGACATTTTCTAGAGAATATTTATTTCCATTGTGGTGCTAGTTCAAACATGTTACACATTTATGACTGTAGTATACTATAGTATTTACTGTAGGTTTTGGGTGGAATTTTCCTTCAAGTGTTGCACTTTTTGTGGATTGCCTAATATGCTAACTAAGCCTGCTTTATATTGTTTGTTTGGTTGTCATGCTATGTAGCTATTGATAGATTATCCTGCTATAGCTTTGGCCTACCATGCCGCATGCTATTGCAACCACTTTCTGTCCAGTCATTGTTAACTGCTGCTATATTTATGCATAGCTTTAACCATTTTATATGCTTATGACATTTGCATATTGTCATTGCTTATTGCCATTTACAGATTTGTATGTACAGTGCCTTCGGAAAGTATTCAGACCCCTCAAACTTTTCCACATTTTGTTATGTTACAGCCTTATTTTAAATTTGATAATTGTTTTCCACCCCCTCATCAATCCACACACAATACCCCATAATGACAAAGCAAAAACAGTGTTGTAGAAATTTTTGCTCATTTATAAAAAATAAAAACACTGAAATATCACATTTACATAAGTATACAAACCCTTTACTGAGTACTTTGTTGAAGCACCTTTGGCAGCGATTACAGCATCGAGTCTTCTTTGGTATGACGCTA